GACTACCTGTGTTTTTTTTTTTTTTTACACCATTTGAAGCAACTGAGCAGTCCTCATAAAAGATCTCTGGCCGCCTCACCTTCTTAGGCAAGGTATTCAATCAAAAGCATGAATCATAATCATTTCATGCGAGTAAACATACACTGTAATTTACTTTGCATCGAATACATAAAAGATGTATAACAATATGAGGATATGGAAATGCTGAAAACGTCTTTATGTTTTGCCACATGCGTTAAATGCGGATAAATATTGATGAGCTGAGAGGGAATGCTTTGCTTTCTCTGAAACAATCTCGGTTTTTGTTGACAGAGCCGGCTTAGCGAAAGGCGGATGTGAGATAATAGGTGGATAGCTCATGTGAATGATTTGAGCAAACTGCTCAATTTGCCAAAACTAAAGAGCTGTAAAACACTTCTTTATGTGACTTATTGTTTCAGACATTATATGAAAGCCAAATAAGTACTTGACTTTTTAGTCGTTTTCTTAAGCTCTATTCATAGTACAGGCTCGCCGTTGCTGAGTGAGAAAAACCCATAGGGCTGTCTGTTGTCTCTAGCGACAGACAAAAGGTGTCTGTGTCTGCTCTATGTGCCCACACATTTACAGAACCTAACCCCCGAAGTCAAGACCCATTTGACTCACAGCAAATTGGCATGTCTAGACTCTTTTCCATTTGATTGTATTTAGTTATTTATTTATTCGAGCAAGCTCTCGACTAAACTGTTTTTTTTTTCTTCTATTAATGTGGATCTCTGGCTCTGTGGGCACCCGAGCCCAGTCCCCCTCCTCCTTTTTTTTCCTGTCAGGAATGAAGAGTTAAGTGAGGGGATTAATTACTAATTGCACTTTTTAGCTATGAAAGCATTCTTCATGAACAAGTGAGGAGAGAAGTTGTTGCTCTGACACGCACATGCCAGGCAAATAAAGACAAAGTAGATTTTGGTGGCTCGGTTTTTTGCCACCACTGTGATGCCCCGATGATGGATACCTCTGGGAAATGGGACAAAGAGTGTTTTTGGTGCAAAGTGGATGGATGAATGATAAGATGCAGCCACATCAGCCTACCCACACACATCATCCCATGTCACTATTGCTGCTGCTCCCTTATGAAGACACATTAGCTGCAAAACCCAGCCAGGCTTTAAATTGAATGAAGGAGGTCACTTTTTTTTAACTGCTTAAGTGATAGGTACAGGCTGGTGCCGGTTAAGTCCTGCGTTCTCTTGATCGCTGGCTCGATGGTCCTCTGAGGACACCAGTTTTGCAGTGGCAGCATTTAAAAGAAAATGTTTTGAAAGAATACCTTCTGAATAAAGACGGATGAAGTCTCGAGTGTCAAGTCCTAATTTAAAATGAGCAAAGCTGAAATTGCATTCAAGTTCCCACGGGTTTGTGGGTTGTTGTTTTTTTTTTTTTAGAATAAAACCATCTGTTCTTCACTTAACCTCAGTCTTTGCTGGAGAACAGTTTTGTTGTTTAAGGTGTGCTCAAGCTAAAGCCACGAATAATCACATTCAGGTTAAGGGTTATTTTAGCAATTTAGTATTCCAATGTCAAAGTGTTGTAGATTCATTTTAAGTCAAGATCCAAAAGTGGTGGATGTGCTACGTCATGTGTTAGGCCCAGACTGCTAGACAGTATGCATGTTTGCAGCATTGTCCTTTTGAACGGTCTTTACATTGTCATGCAACACATGACACTTCCAGCTTATCTCGACTCTTACAGATGAGCCCTGGTTGACACTTTTTAATGTACTGGGTATGCACAGTGATGTTATCCTAGTGCTCCAATTTGTCTTATGTCAGACATTTGCTTTTGAAATGAATTTAAGTTTTTAACTCAAGTTACATTAAATTAAATTCAAATTAACTTTCTGTCACTCTTGGGTCACGTTATGTCATGGCTATAGTTCAGAAGTCTACTAAACAGAAGGTTGGTGTTTCGTTCCCTGGCTGCTCCAGTCTGCATGTCAAAGTATCCTCGGACAAGATACTGAACCTTCATCAGGGTGTGAATGTGTCCGAATGTTAGATAGAACTACTGTGTGTGCAGTAGAGACATGTTGTACTTTGAGTGCTCAAGGTGAGTACACAAGAACTCGCCCAATCACAGTGACCAAAGGTGCTCAGTGCTCGATAGTTTAAGAAACAGTTTTAATCAACTGATAAAGTCTCACAGCGTGCATGCTTTTTATAACGGGCCTCGTGATCCAGAGAGAAAATGTTGAGTTGAAAGATGATGAAAAACCTATTCCGTGTTTTAAGAAAGAACGCATTAATTATTATTTTTAATCAATCTTCAAATACACAGAGGCAAACAGACAAATATTAAATGCAGAAACACACTGTGAATGTGTCCCCTGGGAAAGTTTCTAAATGTCCCTTTGTAATGTTTTAGGGAATATCTGGACTTAGAACTAATTTTTCAACACCACTGATGACTGGTTAGCAACTTCAAAAGTCACAGGCTGGGCCATAACTTATTTGTGTCACCTGGAAACATTTCTGCTAGAAGACAAATTTGTTGCCTAACTGAGAAGTTAGAATTCAACTATAGAGGTTTCTCCAATATGCAAGATGATTTTCAGTTTTCTGGGTTATGACTTCTACAACACTGGCAGAGACATTTGATTATAGACTCATGGTGGGAGTCCTCCTGAAGTCTATCTACATAGATCTTTGACATACCTACATATTCTAAATGAATGGATTACAAAGTGTGTTAAAATGTGATGCCGGGAGCCAGACTCTATCAAACAGCCACAGGAGCACATTTAACAACGCATTCTGTTTGTGGAAATTTTCCCAATTAAGCAACGCACTAGTACAGCGAGCGTATTTTCCGCTACAGCTGATGTTAACACTCAAAATGTGTGGTGTGCTTCAGTGAAGATACAACTTCAAGTAAGTCTACCGGTAATGGGTGGCATATCATACGTACCTCATGTGTGGGAGAGAGGTGCGCAGGCACACCTTTGATGACACCTTTAAAGAGACCGTTTTCAGACACAGATGTTTGCATGTAGTAGTTCTAGGAAAACTAGTCCTTAGATTTAAATTATTTGTACAAAACAAACTGACACGGCTAATCTTTAATCCGCATCCTTACATCCACAGATGTGAGACACGAGTGATTATACGGGACGTGTAGAAAGCGTGACTTTATGTGTGCTTCCAGCCTTCCAAAGGTAAATTGATTGACATGAGTTAGTCGGTTTAACAATAATGCCATAGCTCATCAGATTCAGTGATGTCCTTTGTTAACAATGGTTTTTCTGAACAATTTCTGTTCAGTTGTGGTCTATATGTTAGAGTCCTTCATCTGTGTGTTCAATGGGTAGCAAAATAGCACTAAGATTAGTTCCACACATGGAAACACAGCAAAGGCTGAATGACGATGTCTTGATCTGAAGGGCAGTGCATATGGCTCACAATGTACATGCTTTTTTCAAAGGGCCTCGTGATCCAGAGAGAAAATGTTGAGTCGAAAGATGATGAAAAACCCATTCCGTGTTTTGAGAAAGAACACATTAATTATTATTTTCATTTCTTTCCCGGTTATGGCGCTAGTGATAGATGGATATCGAAAGGCAACCCTGTACTGGATTGTGTTTTCCTTCACAGGGTACATAAGCGAGAGCAAGAATGAATATGAAAAAGTACAATTTCAACGAGTTATCCATCATAGAAATTCAGCTCTAAAGTGAAAAGAAAGATTGCAGGATTCCTCAGTTGAATTCAAAATCTGTTTCTTGTACGACAGCAGTCCTCCCTTTGTTTGTGGTTTGAAATCTTGAAGGATAAATAATTCTTTTTGAATATAAAGGCGAGCATATAAGAAAGCAGCGCGATGCAGAGATGCGAGATGAAAACGCTCTTTAACGTCCCACACAGTCTTTGCTCTGTTTATCATCGTAATTGACTACATGTTACTCTTCTGTCAGCTTTTTTTATTTGCATGTGACTAACATGTCCATGTGTGAGTGCTCGTGAGCCCCTTTCGGCGTTAAACCCCCCCAAAAAAAGCAGCAGTCTGTAAAATATGCCGGCTTTTTGCCAGCACATTGGAAAACCAGGACACTAATGGAGAAAAGGGCTAGAAAAATCAAATCCAAACAATTGAACTCAGAAGTCTGAAAATAAGACAACGCTGTGAACAAAACTGAGTAAAGCGAGAGAGCAAGTAACACTTTTCAAACCTTTGCTGCGGTTTGTGCTCCCAAAACAGTCTGAGGGCGTCTGTATGAATGTGTGTCAGTGTGTGTAGGCTTAAGTTGATCGGCAGCCTGCCAGTGTTTTGAACTACACATCAGTACCACTTTGTACCCTCCATTCTGACCCCCCCCTTTCTACCCCCGTGCGACATACACACACACACACACACACACACACAACAGCCTCCCCATTAACACACTCTGCCTCTAATGGAGTTCACTACTCACTACTTTCCGCTTGAACATGCAGTAGAGGAGTGCATCTAATAGTAGTCGCACACAGTTGGACTACATGGGTGTGAGCTTCAGTTAATATATGCCACTAGAGCCTGTGTTGGCAGACAAGATTGTGTTATCTGCTGTGGTGTGTACGGGCCCAGCCCATCTGTACGGTGACATCCTTCATAAATGAACCAAGCCGAACTGTGACGGCTGTCTCTTAGCCTGTGCTTCAGTCCTGTTGCTGCACTGACACCTCTGATGCATGCGCAGTATCTTGCCTCAGTATCATGAATACTGAAAGGATGTGCCACATTTGTATATCACCCTTTAGGCTTCTTTCAACGTGATTCCGCACGACTCCCTCTCTCTTCACTCGGTATTTTGCGCGCTGAAAGCAGGTGCTTATAAAAACATCTCTCTTTCCTCCTTCTTTTTTTTGATGTAAACATTTTCTTGCCCTCTTCACTTTACTAGCTTACATTAAAAATAGCGCGATGATTTAATCTGCTTACGGTTAATCCATCCCCTTTCTTTTTTGCCTTTCTTTCTTTTGCTTTTTAAGGGACAGAGGCCATGTTTTCCCAGCAGCCACAGGACCTGGTGGTGGTGGCAGGCCAACCTGTGACATTACCGTGCAGTATCCCTGGCTATCACGGCGTCGTCCTGTGGATCAAAAACGGCTTGGCGCTGGGTGTGGGCAGAGACCTCTCTGGTAAGCATCTATCTTCCTTGAGCATGTTACCCTCTGTTTCATCTATTAATTATACCCTCTAATATAACTGTCATATTCAAATGGCTGCTTTTTGTCATCTCAAGTCCACACGTGTCAACAAGCTACCCTTTGCCAAATACATGAATCCACAGAGAGATAAAGCAGGGCCCCTAATAGTGTGTTTCATCAATCAAGAATTGCAAGTGCACTAATTGTATCACTCAACATGAACGAGCAAAAAGAAAACTCATTTATGTCACTCTGTTACATGCAAAGTTGAATCTTTCATAGTTTCAAACCAACTGCAGCACGAAACGAGTTGTTGCCCTGGTCTTTGTTGGTGCTTCAGGCTTCTAAATGGCTTTTTGAAGAGTACCTGGTGTCCTCTAATTACGCTGCACCTCGTGCATAATTGTCTTAATTGTTTAATTTAGTGCAAAAGTGACTACTGCACTGTCACTTAGTAGCCTGTTGTCAAACCAATCAAAGCTTTGTGTGCTGGCGACCTTGATGAATTTCAAGGAAACGCATCGCTCCTTTTAATAAACCTGAACAATCTTCTGAAGCGCAAAAGCTGCTGGATAAGAAAACCCGGCAACACCATGTCGCTGTTACATTATTTATTGAAAGGTTCATAAAATTCTCCCGAAACAGAGATTGATTTGAATGTTTACGCAGGGCTCCGTACGCAGCGGGATGCATTACTCTTTAAGGGCACAGTCTTTATTTTAGAGCTGTCTAATTTGCCTCGTGCACGTCTGCTCTGTGACCACTGAGAAATCTGAGTTAATTGCGATTCGCGGCACAGTGTCACAATATCCAACTGTGGCCATTTTCAAAACACAGATGTCTCTCGTGATCACCGGCGATTAAATATGTATTGCTCTACAGATTTGAGGTCCTCTACCCTCTGACCTTTAGCAAACGCTCTTTAAAGGCCTTTTCCTGTCACCAGCGCGGTCTGTAATTAAACCTCAGTGGCTGACAGAGCCCCAGTAAAGCCATCTTATTCTCTCTTCAGGTCCTTATCAGGCACAGGGGAGGCTGAGAGGTAGCTGTAAACAATAGTCCCACAGTCTTCGAGTCTTCTTTGGAGGAAAAGGAGGCAGACAGGGAAAGTACTTATGATTGCTGGAGATAGAATGGAAGAGAGAGGGAGTAAGAGGGAGCACAATTTTATTTAGGGTCAGAGTGGAGCAGAGATGTTTATCCTCTTCTATTTTATTGATTTAACAAGACAAAACGATCAAGATGAAATCTCATTTCAAGAATGGGTAAAGTCGGAGTAAGGTGGAGAAAAGAGGAAAGAGAGAACGTCGGGTCGTCACACCGAGGAGAACTGCAGCAGATCACTCTTTAACAGCGCATCTGTAAATAATTTCCCAGCCACGGGCAGGATGTAGAAACTCTGACCTTCTCCATCAGCTCTCTTCTTCCTGTTGTTTGGGTGAATGATCAGGCCCGATGTGTAGAGTTTGAGAGTTTAAAAATGTGCACGGTTTCATATAAAGGAGGAATAGATTCCTGTCGGGGGAGGAAAGGTTGCTGAAATCAACCCTGTGATACGGACAGGAGCTGAGTGCCTCCTATTGAAGCAGATGACACTTTTTCAAAATAAAGCACTTCACAGCTGTCCCTTTTTTATTCTTTTTTTCTTTTTTTTTGCTGCTCCTGCCTACCTAAACAAGTAACGCATGCAGAAGTAAACGAGTGATGGTACATCATTGCAAGATGTACACAAAGAAAGGAAATTGGCAGCTGTATACATAAAAAGTGCGACGAATGAAATGTTGCATGGAGCATTTCAATAATATAGGTCTGCTTGGGTATTCATAGAAAGAAGCTGCGTTGGCAGCGTGCTCCGCCTGGGACCTGTTTCCATTCACAGGAGCAGTGATTAAACTGAGAGAACTCTTTCACCATTCAGTGCGAGAAATCATAGCACAAAAGCCAATGATTCCTATCTGTCCCTGAATTTCCTCTTCATTCCCTTTTGTGCCATGCTTTTCCACTCTAATTAAAGAAAAGTGAAGTAGCCCCACAGCAGCTCCACATGCCAGTCAATGCCATGAATATGTAACTGCTGCACAACTTGACAGCGACAATGGGCAGAGCGGCTATAAGTGAATTCTCCCGGTGTGCACGCAGAGCAAGATGGACGGGGAAGTGTTTATATATGTTTTGCCATGCACTTGTGGATATACTCCAGGAGGACACTTTCTTGAGAAGAGACTGATGGCAGACCTTTAGATGCGAGCAGGTGCTACTCCTGCCTCTCATGAGATCCAATTGAACACTCCGGTCATCTGTTCACAGATGCAGCAAAACCTTTCTCTATCCCCCAGTGCTTACACTGTGTGAAATGTGCTCTAGGTAAACGCCATAAATCACTAGGCCACGCCTCAAGTCTCTGTATAGTTACACGCACACGCGCAAGCGCACGGTCACCATTGATTCGGCCCGAAGACAAATCCATTCTCCTCTGATGGATTCATTACTCCTTAATGGGCCTATTTTACATTGTTTGCTTTGGGTAACGCGTGGTGTCTTTGAAATTCCCCGAGATCTAAGATCAATGACCCGCGTCACATGTGCCGAGGTGATCAGTCTTCATGTGTGTCAGTATAACTTCAGTCACATTGGCAAAATACATGATCAAGGTGCTTATGAGATGACAAAAACACATTTCAGCATGTTTATACTGTTTGGAAATTAGACGCATTCTTGTCATTTACTATCCGCGGCAAATGCAAATTGTATTCCTTTCGGGTTCGGTTGATGCACGGAGATGAAACTGGAACGGAGCCATGTCCTCACACAGCGAAATTATTCTTAGTTTGCCAGAGGCACAGATGAGGTAATTGGCAAGATCATCTGTTTGCGTAACAGAAATTTGCATGCCTCGTACCTTGCCACAATTAAGACCAGCAAAGCGAAGTTGTGAAGTGCATCTTGTTTCCCGGGTGCAGTTAAGGCTCGGCTGTGGAGTCTGCAGTCAACTCAAGGTCACATAATTCAGATTTGCGCAATGATCATTACCCTTGTGATCCAAAATGGCACTATTGCTTTGAATCTCATCAGTGAACATAAAACTGAAGCAAAATGGGTCTCCGGGTGACCTTGTGAACATAATGGTGCATCCTTTCATTTAAGCTTCTGTTTTTTTTACAATTTCTTTCCTGAGTGTGGAAAAGTAGAAAGCGCCTTTTCAGGCAGTGGTTATTAATACTATTCATTGAAGCTTTTACTTGTGATTGGGCTTGTGTTAACTGTATGTACAGCATTTTTTTTACTGCCATTCCTCCATATGAAACTGAAAGAAAAAAGACATTTATCAACTGCGTTCTAAGTATTCCCTCAGAACAGTAGCTGGTGGCATTTTGGTCATCTTGGTTAGCGTGCCACGTCTTTAAACTTCTCCTGTGTCCTCTGCCTGGTTGTGCTGCTTATACTTAGGCATTTTTTTTGTCCTTTGTTCTTCCCAGTGTATAGGCCCACAAGATTAAAAGCTACATGTTGGAAGATGAAATGCAGAGAGTAGTTTAATCGGCTGTAACTCACCCCACCAGCATATAATGAGGCCCACTTCATGCTCTATTAAAGGCTACTGGATTCAATGAAGCAACCATCAGTAATTGGACTTTGAGCATACGATGGGCTTTTGCAGTAGACAAATTCAAGGACTTAAAAGCTGTTATAAGGCTGCCCAGTCTGTTATGTTCCCTGTGGTTAGTAAAACATATAATCAGAGAGCAAACCCTTTATAGTGATTCTGATGGATCGCTGAAGTGAACTCGACTTATAAGGTGGTTGTTATCGGAAAATCCATATTTTGTTCCCAAAAATCTGTTGGTAAGAAACCAAAACTTATTTTTTTTGGAACAAAAATTCCAAGTATGTGAGCAGAAAGTGTGAAGTTTCCTGTTACAATACACAATGTTTGGAGTGCCCTTGTTCCCCTGTAAAACTCTCCAATTCACTCCTCAAGGTTCATCGATGATATTTCTATAAGCGCTACTGGAGGAAAAAGCAGTTCTCAGCTGGAAGTTACTCGCATTTGTGGGAGTTTAATTTGTATAAACACACATTCCCCGTGTTTTCCAAGCACTGTATCTACAGTAATTAAAAATATGGGGCATGAAAAAAAAAGAGAATCTATCTTAGGAAACGAGCAAATCCAAAGGCATGCGGAAAATACCCCACAGAGCCGCCCAGTTAAACTCATTCTTCTTCTTGCTCATCTAACCCCATCGAGGGACGCGTGCCGCTAAACACTTACAGTGCACATTTTGATAATAGTTGAGGGCGATTTCTTTGAAACCATCTCTCTTGACTTGTGCAAAATGTCCATGTCTCTTGGATGTTGTTCTCCATTCTTCCCTTATTAAGCTGTAAATCATTTCAGAAAGCTTTGCTGGAACAAGTCAAGCTATTTCCTGTTTATAGCTGAAGTAAAAAAAAAAAGAAAAAAAAATCATTATCCTGAATGCTACAGCTACTCCTTAAAATTGGCAGGAGTGCTGTAAAAACATGGAAATGTATGAAAATGCATTGTGAGTGAAGTAACAAATTAACATTCAAGCTATGTTCACCTATAAAGTCATTGTAAAATCAGTTTCTCTGTTATCTAAATTACATGCTTTTGCAGCTCAGTTAAAGTTAATATGTTAATGGCTGAACTGTGAAAGGTAACAAAGCAGTGTTTTCTTTTTTTCTTCCTTTTTTTACAAAATGATTTTGTTATTAAAAGCTTTAAAAATAATCATTTTTTCATCTTGCTTTTGGCGAGTGCACAGTATTTTCATTTTCAAACGGACAAATGTGTTTGCACTGCAGGCTACCCTCGTTACACAGTGATTGGCGACCATGGTTCAGGGGAGCATCATTTGCGAATCCAGCGTGTTGAACTGACGGATGATGCAGTGTTTGAGTGCCAGGCAGTTCAGGCTGCCATGAGGTCCCGTCCTGCCCGCCTCACTGTTCTGGGTAAGTCAACACTGAGCACACGGCAACTCCAAACAAACCCACTGTACCAGCGCCAGCAGGCTCCAATCACCGGATTGCAAATGGCTTGTGGGAAAAAAACAAAAAAAAAAGCACTGGCTTCTCTCTTTTTAATCTGTCAACTATCAGTTCTTAACTTAGGGAAATGTGTAGAACAAAGTAAACACCTTTGTTCCAATTATTTGATACGATAGTGTAATAACAGTATACATGTATTAAATCCCAGTATTCTTGAACCTAAGCACTGGATAGAACCACAGCTCAAAGCAACACTAACAAATTCAATGCTTAAAAAGGTTTTAGGGTTTTTTTTTCTTCCCACTTTCCAGCAACAAATCAAAACTAATATTTCATGTGATGTTTTCCAAAACATGATAAAAAATGATGTTGCGAATCTTGAACAGAAAAGATCCTTTATTTAAGCGTTTGAAAGGGAATCAGGAATCCGTGATAACTTTTTCCCATTTGGCAGACAGTGTCAATATGACGAAACTTTTACAGAACCTTATTTCCACTTTAATTTCCTTCCTCGGCATGCAGCCTCCATTTCCATTATTACCATAAGCTTGAGAGGTGACAGGCTCTTAATTAAACTTTATTGGGTTATCATTCAGTGTTTTCATTTCTGCCTTATTGGGTAGCTCTAGTCCAACCTCTGGCTCACGCCTCTTACCTGGGTCTTTCAAGCGTTCTTCCCTTAACCTTCCTCAGTAGGTGAGTGCCGAATAGATAACTCAAGTCGGTGGCAGAGCAAGAGAGCGAAGGAAGGAATGAGTGAAAAGAGTGGGGAATTTGTGGGATGTCTGACGCCCTCACCACTAGCGACTCATCCGCCATATTGATCCAGCCTAATGAAAAGTGAAACTAACGATTTTGTAGGGGAGAAAACAGAAAGAGAAAACGAGAGAGGGGAAGACAAATTGCAGCATAATGTTTCTCTGGCAGCACAAGCCCCCTCCCTGCAAATGGATATAAGTGAATAATTATGGATACTTCTTCAGAGTTTAAAATGTCTGGTGTGACTGCACTTTTCCCATCATCTACTGCTTTCCTTTTTAGGGTGCATGTTCACATCCTTCAAAGTTCAGATGCTCTAACATCGAGATTTTCTTAGAAACTTTGCAATCAGACCTCACACTCAGGGGACATTAGGGGAAAAAGAAAAAAAGCCCGACAGGCAATTCAAGATGTTATTGCTGGACGCAATACCCATTTTAATGCATGATTCTCCTACATTAAACTTCCACTTTGGCTTTTCAAGCAACTTTATTGCATTATAACACCGGCCTCCCACTTAAAGGTTCTACAGTCTAGAGCGGGGATCTCAAACCCGTGCCACTTGTGGCCCATGTCACCCCTAGTGTGGGCCGTATATTGACGTGAAGAAATATAATGCGATTTGGCCCTTGAAGTTACTTTTTTTTTAGTGCAGTGTTAAAATAAGTTCTTTAAAAAACAAACAAATGATTTAATATGAGCAGAGAGTACAAACATGTTGAGGGATTGGTTGTGTTAGTTCAGTGAGAGAGTTGTTTGTGAAAACAATTTTCACTAGCAGTCAAAAGCTAATGTGTACACTTATGTCTGCATTTTTATTTTGTTAAATACGAACAAAATGACAGCAGAAGTGCTGCCACGTGTCCGGCCAGAAAGAGAGTACCAACTTGTTTATTTGGTAGTTCAATGAAAGGCTTCAGTTAAGAGTGAGAAAAAAAAGTGTGTTCACGTTTGCAGTTTTGTGTTGTTAAACAATAATTGAAATGTAAAAACACAAACAAAACACTACATTTTCAGAAATATTTGAGGGTGTTTTCTTGTTTGTTTGTTTGTTTGGTTGTTTTTTTGTACTACTTGAACACTAAAGAGGCCCTCCAATGAGATGACAGTGCCAGCAGTGGCCCACAGCTCATTTAAGTTTGAGACCCCTGGTCTAGAGTATGGAGAAAAAGGTCTATATTAACTCAGTCACAGTTTTAATCACTCACTCATTAATATATAATAAAAATTAGTAATGTTTTGATGCATGCTCAATCATCTAGGTAAGAAAATCCCCAAAAGGTTGATTCAACTTTTTGGAACAATTAGTAATCCACAGCTCTTTTCAACACATTACTGGAACACAGTATTCGGTTGAGGCATAAATTAGTCCAAAAACTAATAAATCCCTATTTGTAAAAATGGCACCACTGAAGACCATGCTGGGTAATGCTAGCTAGCTGGCTTGTTAACATCTAGCATGGGCTCTGCTGCTGCACTCAACAACAAAATGTTCCAAAATAACTTGTGACCAATAGAGAAGCACCATCTGGTGTTTGGGAATTTTTCAGTTGTTTAAATAAAACAAAACAAAAAGAAAAAAATGATTTTGTTGTGTTTTATGGTTGTGCTGCTTCGGGCAGTATTTTCACTATGTGCATGGTTCAGGCAGACGTTCAGCGACGGAGCCAGGGATAGCATGCTACTCAAGGCTAAAAGTTTTTTTCCCCTCATCATATTTTCCACAAGCAGGTTTTTAAGGACCGACTCTCTAGCTCTGTGGATTTGTGTTTACAGAGACAAAGTAAAGATGTTTTGGGTTTTTTGGTTTTTCTTGGATTTTTTGGTTTTTTTGGGAAGTTTGTGTTTTATATTTTATTTCTTTTTTTAGTGGCACCATATGTTAAAATGATCAATGACTTATTCAAAAATAATAATGATAATATCTTAATTATTAATAATTATTAATTATATAAATACAATGCTATTAGTTGAATGTATAAAAAATAATCTCTGACAAATTTCAGCCAAATCATTTTATATTCACACAAAGCTGGGACCCATGTCTAAACTTCCCTTTATTCCCTGTGTCTGAAAAAGGTTGTTGCTCTACAATCAAATTGTAACCAAATGAAATCTAGAGGCAGTTACACATGCTAATATTACAATTAAACTATAATACATTTTTCTGTCTAAATCAACATCGTCAAGCTTGTCCATGTGCAGCAGTCAGACACAAAACCAAAATAAATAAATCAATGAATAGGTTTATTGGTTACCTATTAATATTAACTGATCTTAAGATTTTAATAATGTTTTTCAAGGCCAGCTCTGGGCTCACACCAAAGTATGTCTCAGATCTTCTGACACTGTGTGCGCCCGGTCGTAACCTGAGGTTCTCAGCCAAGGCTGCGCTGGCCATCCCACAATCTCGGCTGAGGACCAAGGGTGACTGAGCCTTTTCTATCAGGGCACCCGCTCTTTGGAACAACCTCAGCGAAGAGATCAGATTGGCAAGCTCTTTATCGCCTTTTAAATCCCTCTAAAGACATATTTTTATACGCTGGCTTTCTCTTTGCTTCCACTTTGAGTTATTTGTTTGTTTTTTTTTAATAATGTTTTATCATTTCTTCCTTCTCTTCCTTTATAATCTTTATTATTTTGTATTTGTTTTTAATTTACCATTTTTTTTCCTCTTTTTTCTTTTTTTAAAAAAATCATTACTTTTAATATTCTTGTGCTGCCAGCTTTTCTTTATGATTATGTATTATTTCTTTAATATGATGCTAAACACCACTTTGTTTAGCCTTAGTGGCCTTGGAAATTTTCTAGGTAAAAGCTGCCTTCAGTGAAAGGATGCTCATATGGGAGCACACAGTTGCCATAAGCAGTGGATGCAAATATTTTTCTACTTTCAGTTTTATTTCACCCCCCACTGTACTCCATGTGGTCCAATCTTGGCATATTCCAAGTAAATTAAAGCAACAAAGCACTATTTGCTAACCCTGAAATTTCAACCGTAAGCAGCATTTGGGTGAACTGTATTATCTTAGCTAATAAGCTACGAGAAAGGGAACACCTTTATTCGTATTTGACTTATTGAGAGCGAGAGAGTTTATCGTACCTCCCCATGAGCCTGAATGGTAGGTGTTTGTTTAATCCCCTGCCAAGCTCAATGACTCCACAATGTGCTGCCAGGGAGAACTCCAGGCTGATCTACACACAAGGTAATGGAGGAAATATATGCAAGGCCTGTGTCACTGCAAACTCCTAGCTGTCAATTACTTGCCAGCGGTGACAGAGTGTGTCTATCAACTTGGAAGGCAGCTACGGCCACACACACGCCTATATGCGCGCACGCAGACACAAATACGGCGCATAGGCATATATGCATTATGCTTAAATGCATCCTCACACCCACCAGTGCACACACACGCGCACACAAAGTCTTCCATTTCCAAATTGACAGCAGAATAAATCTAAAGCTCTCCTCTCCATCTTTTATAATTCAGTTTCAGCCCATATACATCCATGTGCCATGTCAGAGTAACTTCTCAACACTTAACTTTGATATCTTTTGAAACACAGAACACAAATATTCATACTGCTAAAGAATAAAGTTGCATGTTTCAAGTTTTCTGTCTTTTTTTCTCTTTTCTTTTCACTGAGTTTGGCCTTGTAAAAACTACACATGTAAACAACCCACCTATTCACTAGAAAAGCCTTTACTTCACTCTTATTCATTTCAGCCAATAATTAAATGGGGAAGAGTAAGGGAGTTAAAAAAGACTGACTACATCAACATTTATAAACGGTAATGAAGTCCCTTCATCGAAAAGCTTTGGCAACTAAATGGATAGTGCGCTTAAGAGTTTGCATGGCTTGCAGGCTTACTCTCAGATGCCAAAGGAGAATCAAGGTCTTGTGAATTAGTCATGAAGGAAGAGAATGGAGGATTTCAGGTCCAAAAAAGACCCCTGAGGCTAATTATATCCCTTGCAGCTAGTTGGCACCTCTCCAGACCTTTGCTCTAATCTTTCTACCTTTGGTTGGGGACCGGTGGAATGAAAGGAAGTGGGATCACTGTTGTTTGATTAAGGTCTTTGGCTGAAAAACTTATCTAAGGTGTTTGGTTTATTTTAAATTAACTGGATTGTGGTAATCCTTTACACAAAAGAAATATGCTTTTAATGAATTGTAGTGCCATTTATTGACAGACATTTTAG